CCATGCGGTAAAACCGTGCCAGGGTTGCAATTTAGGCTCCGCCCCTGACTCTGCCCACTTTTCTCCGGAGTTTTTTTTTCCCCGGAAATTTTTTTCTCCGGAATTTTCGGGGTCTCGACTTTTTCCAGGAAAAATTTCAATGCGCTCCATTGTCCACACAGGCGCGACGCGCGCGAAAACGCACAGTTCGAACGATTGCGCAACCAGTGGACTGAAAAAATAGTGCTCAAAATTTAAAAAACTGAAATTTCCTAAAGAAAACATCGATTCTTTTTTATCCGAATTTCCTATTATTCCAACCTCGTCTTATTCTTTGCCGACAGCGTTGCTTCAATGCCGATTCACCCAGTATATTTTCTACAATATTCTATTTCAGAACGATGACTGTCGCCACTCTTAGCAACGCTGGTGAGAAAAACTTTGAAATGCCAACTGTCGAAAAACAAACCCTATCTGACTCTCGATTAACTCTCCGATACACCGAGCTGAACAGCGATGCAAAGATGCCAACCTACGGATCACCATCGGCTGCTGGAGCAGATTTATACAGTGCAGAAGACGTTGTCGTTCCGTCCAACGGAAAATACTGTGTATCCACAGGCCTCCAGCTAGAGATCCCGATCGGATACTACGGAAGAGTTGCGCCTCGATCAGGATTGGCTGCCAAGCATTTTATCGATGTCGGAGCTGGAGTCATCGACAGCGACTACCGTGGAGAAGTCAAAGTTCTCCTTTTCAATTTCAATGCTACTGATTTCGAGGTATTAAAAAGTCTGGCCCAAAGTGATGATTATATCCTATTTTAAGGTTAAAAAAGGTGATCGCATTGCTCAATTGATCTGCGAACAAATCGGCAACGGAACATATGCAGAAGTGACGAATCTCGAGACAACTGATCGTGGTACCGGGGGATTCGGATCTACTGGACAGTATGCCGAGAACGTCATGTTGAAAATGTTTATTTGGCATATTTCAGATCCGCCATGACTGTTCAATACAATACAACTGCTTCCACATCCAAACGGATTGCCGTTCGATTCACTCAACTCAATGAAAATGCGCATGCTCCTACTTATGGATCGGAAGAAGCGGCCGGAGCAGATCTGTACAGCGCCGAAGACGTCGTAGTTCCAGCTAACAGCAAGGTGTGCGTGTCAACTGCAATCCAAATGGAGTTACCATTCGGATACTATGGAAGAGTTGCTCCACGATCCGGTCTCGCAGCCAAGCACTTCATTGATGTTGGGGCTGGTGTTGTTGATAGTGATTACCGTGGAGAGATCAAGGTCCTTCTTTTCAACTTCAGCAAAACTGACTTTGAGGTGAAGAAGGGTGATAGAATTGCACAGCTCGTCTGTGAGAAAATCGCACATTGCGTTTATGAAGCAGCAAGCGAGTTGGAGAACACTGACCGAGGAGATAATGGATTCGGATCAACTGGAGAGTAAGTATTTCTTTTTTTCTTCATTCTTTTATGATATGCTTCCAGAAGTGCCATGGAAAATGAGCCAGTCGTGAAAAAAGTGAAAACCAATCAGTCTGAAACTGGCCTAATTTCCGTCTCAATCGAATTCACTAAAAGCACTGAAAATGCTCACATGCCTACAAATGGATCAGAAACGGCAGCCGGCGCAGACTTATACAGTGCTGAAGACGTCACTGTACCGGCAAAAGGCAAACTCTCTGTATCGACAGGAATCCACATGAAACTTCCACTTGGATACTACGGAAGAGTCGCCCCACGATCTGGACTCGCCGCTAAGCATTTTATCGATGTTGGAGCTGGAGTTATTGACAGTGACTACCGTGGAGAAGTCAAAGTTCTTCTTTTCAATTTCAACGAAGCCGATTTTGAGGTATGAATATCGAACAATACTAAATATTGAAGACATCTTTCAGGTCAAAAAAGGAGATCGTATTGCACAGATCATCTGTGAGCAAATTGCTTTTTGCGACTATCAGAAAGTCGACACTCTCGAAGACACCGAACGTGGTGCTGGTGGATTCGGGTCGACTGGAAAGTAAACAATACCAACACACATCATTAACATTAACCGCTGTAACATGTACGATCTCGTTTATCATCCAAGATATTTTGAACTATTTTGCGAATGAATAACAATTGAACTACGAATTTATTCCGATTTCTATTACACGATTCCGAATTTCAGATAAGTCGCTTGGGTCTGGAATTATATACTCGCTAGGATCTCGTTTTGATCCCGCTTCGAAAAGTTGGGCGTTGCTGGCAATGATATCGTTGAAAGGAAAAACATTGAGGTTTCTGAAAGAAAGGTAATAAAATACCAACCAACGTCACTGATAAACATACTTGCTTTTCCCTTGATAACCAATTATTGCAATTTCATTTGGATCTGCAACTGATTCTCTTGTTTCCACAAACCCATTGTCTTCTTTCTTTTCAACAAAACCACACTAAATTCTATCAGCTTTATAAATAGATCACCCGTTCAACCAACCGCCAGAAGCCAATGAGCAGAATGCCCTTTCACATAAACTGGTTGGAAATTGGGTCCACAATCGTAAGCAACCAGAATATGCTTTCCTTCTCCGATAGCATCTGTGAACTCTTTCGCATTTGGCATTTCGCGAGCATTAGCGCTATTCGGAAGGAAATGATTGGTCAGATCAGCAAGATAATGCGCTGGAAATTAGTCTGTTAGTGAAATTGGGTTGCTGAAAATAAAACCTGAATACATTTCGCCTTGCTTCGTGAAATTCATACTTTTGGCTTTTTCCAGAATCGTCTCTGCACTGGTTTTAACACCGAAATGCTCCAAGCACATTGAAAGTGCGACTAACCCACATCTAAACATCCCAGATAATTATATAGTTGACTTTGTGCTCTCACGTTGGCCCATTCTGCTGTTGGGGAGTTATTTTACTTGTGTTTAAGCAAACCCGTCCACCGCACTCCCCCGTGAAACTGGTTAATCGAATCTGGGTGATTGGAGGCAGAGATTCGAAGCTGAATGTATTGTTATCCATGCTAAACTAAATGTAAATGAATAAACTAATAATCAGCAATCCATTCCTCGATTCACAACCGCTGTTGTGGTCTCTCATGTATGTTATAACAGACGGCCGAAAAATTTGCAACGCCTCGGCCAGCGGCCGGCTGAGGCTCTTTCAATGTGAAAAGGTTACACTAAAGTCACAACAAGCGTTCTGTGAAGAAAACAAAATAGAACAAAAACCCTTTACTAAAATAATTAAAACACTAATGATAATATTAGATAAACTTTTGAATTTCGTCGTAGATGGCGAGCACAAGAGCACCTCCAGTTCCACGGAACACATTGGACAAGGCTCCCTTGAACATTGCCGACATTCCTTCGTTTTTGATGATCTTGACGGCACAGTCCAGAGTGTTCTTGTAAAGGACGTCTTTGCGTCCAGACTGCATCATCATGCGACGACGAACAGTGTCCCATGGATACGAGAGGATTCCAGATCCAACTGTGACGACTTGAGCGATAGCCCAAGCGGCGAAGAAGTTGAGCTTCTTTCCGTCGGAAGTGAACACCATCTTAGCCGTGTCGAACATTCCGAAATATGCTGCACGGTAAATTATGATTCCTTGAACGGACACGAAGAATCCTCTGGAAAAGTTTGAGCTAGATTGAACTTTTAATCTCTAGCATACCTGTAAAGACCGATTGGTCCATCAGATTTGGCAATCTTGACGAGACAGTCCGCTAGACCCTTGAACTCGCGCTCATTTCCTTTTCCGACGTCAGCAGCCAAACGGGTACGAGCGAAGTCCAATGGGTAGACGAAACAAAGAGAAGTAGCTCCAGCTGCTCCACCAGAAGCAAGGTTTCCAGCGAAGAACTTCCAGAAGTCCTTCTTCTTGTCCAATCCCTTCTGGAACATGTTCTTGTAGGTATCCTTGAAGGCAAAGTTCAACGCCTGGGTCGGGAAGTAACGGATGACGTTGGCCAAGTTTCCTCTCCAGAGAGCAGCATATCCTTGTTCCTTTGGCACACGAACAAGCACATCGACGATTCCCTTGTAGCGTTTATCGGCAGTGATGGTTTGCGAAGCATCTTGAACTTGAAGGAGCAGCTTGACACGTTCGATTGGAGCAACGGCCGTCTTGGAGACAGCAGCAGCAGTTCCTCCCGAGGCGAGATCGATCAAGAATTTGCGAGTGTCGAATCCCTTCTTCTCGTCTTTCTTTTTCTCAACTGGTTTCGAATCTCCTCCTACAAAGCGGTGATCAGATTGGAGATTACCAAAATTAAGGCTCTCCGAAAGAGAGAAACTTACCTCCCGACATGATTGCAGAAGTGCTGTTGGATATCCAAGCGGTTAAACACCGAAACTGATGCTCTGAATGGCGATTCGGTTAATTGTCGACTGTGCCACGCAGCCGACACGTTCCAGCCGCCCATCTCGCCGCGCAGCTCCACGTAATCACGTAACAATTAAATTGGGTCACCCGTTTTGTTGAACACCGAGAGACGGTATTTGGTATGAGAGACGCAGACAGAAATATCTTAAGGCGCATGCGCCGCATACTGTGAGCACGTTTTATGAATCACGGATCATGGCAGTAAATATTGAATTATTTGAATGGAAGTTGAATTCAAGCACAAAAAACAAGAATGATCACACACTTTATTTAAACGGAATAGCATGAAGAAGTTCACTCATAACTCAGTTTTGCATGATAATCCTCTTCTCCTTCAGCTTCCTTTATGTCCTTTATGATAGTGTATCTACAGGCGCCTTTTCCAAATTCGCATTGGGGTTTTATGTGAAGTGTCAATTTCTTTTCTTTTCCACTCTCATGACAGTCATGATAAAGCACCATAATCACATCATATCCCTGCAAAAGAAAATCAATTGCATCAAACGCTCAATTTCGACATACCGTAGACCAGGCTTCATCCCCATTTTGCCATCCATTTTGGACGAATTCAGCGGTACCACGTCCATCGCCGATGCGTTGCGCGGTGATAGGATCATCACCGTTTCCCCACCAGTAATCTTGTTCGAAAAATCGCAAATTGTAGCTGAATTTCGGTCGAGCATCACACGTCAACTTGACGTTGAAAAAAAATTGATCATCAGCGTCAGCTACCATGAAGTAGGTGCAAACTAAGAGGAGAAGAGAAATCGGACCGCGCATTCTTAAATGGGATAATGAGGGTGAGGTGGATCAGATCCCTCGAAAGAGAGTGACAAACATTCTACAAAATATTTAGGTTCTCACGAAAAAATATTCATTAGAAAAACAGTGAGTTTACTCGTAAACCAAATTCGCATAATTTGTGATCTCCCCTTTTATGTCTGTGATATCCCTTGAAATCTTGAAATGACATCTGCCCTTCCCAATTTCACAAGGTGGTGTACGGTGAAATTTTTTATTGCATCAAAATGTGCAGAAATGCATGTAGATTGACTTAAAAATAAAGAAAAAATTCAAAAAAATCCTTCATCGAGAAATACGCTGAAAGCCCTTAGGGACGAGGTTTTTTATAGGCCGCCCGGTGAGTAAAAGCGCGCGAATTCA